GAGCGTGCGCACGTGCACACACACACACACACACACACACACACACACACAGAGGTATGCATAAATCCACCCACCCTTGTGACTCTCCCACTGACACGAAGCACTTTGAGGGTGTGGCTCCTGTGATTTTCCTTTGGATTGCCTATAGTATTACAAAACTGATTTTATTTGTGATAAAGGTTCTGTTTGGCAGGATTAAGGTGTCAGTGGTTGAATTCTGTCCCCTCACCAAAAAAATTCATATGTTGCAACTTCAACCTTCTAGTACCTGCGAATGTGACTTTATTTGGAGATGTGGTCTTCGGAGGTGGTTAAATTAAAGTGACATCATTAGGGTTGGCCCTGATCCAATATGATTAGTGTTTTCATAAAAAGAGGATTATGCACGCTTAGTCACACATGCAGGGAAGAAATGTGAAGAGGACAGGGAGAATACAGCCATCTATAAGCCAAGAGAAGAAGTATGAATTCGGTCACTGACTTCAGAAAGAACCAACCCTGCTGACACCCTGCTTTAGACTTCCAGTGTCCAAAACTGTGAGAGAACAAAGTTTTGCTGTTGAAACCACCTAGTTTGTGGTATTTTGTTATGGCAGCACAAGCAAGCTAACATACAAGTTTAGCACAATTTTCCTACGGAACAACTGTGACTCGACAAATGAAACCTATGACACGTGGCCTTCGGGCACATCTCTCCAAGCCTTCCTCGAGGAGTGTGAATTGGATTTTATCAACAACAGAAATTATAGTATTCCTGATTCTTTTCCTTTTTTTTCTCCCTCTCTTCCTCCTCTTCCCTTTGTGTAGTACTGGGTGTTGAACTCAGGGCCTCCACACTGAGCTACATCCTTAACCCTCTTTTTATTTTGGATCAGGGTCCCAGGAAGTCACCAAGTTGCCTGGGCTGAGCTCGAACTTGTGAATCTCCTGCCTCAATCTCCAGAGTCCTGGGATTATACATATATGCCTCCATGCCCAGTGAATTCCTGATTACCTCTCTGTCATTTGTTCCAGATTAAGCTCTGTATCTAGAGTATGTTCTGTTTTTTTTTTTTAAATTTTTTCACTACAAGGACTACAGAAGCAGAACTGGCAGGCAGGGGGGTAATATCTTTTTTTTTTTTTGTAGGGGAACAGATTTTTCGTATCACTTAGGAATAAAGTTAGAATCTCTCTAAAACATTTCTTATAAATACAACCTGCTTGCAGATTTAATATTGGTACTACTGTGACATAAAATTCAGCAGATTTAGTGCAGATGAGTTTTAACAGCATAGCTGGAAGCCAAAGGAAGACTCGTGTAAGAATTATTAAACTTTCTATCCTAGCTATCACTCCACCGCCCACCTCCTCTGACCCCAGCTTATCCTCGGGGACTGCTGCCAGTCAGAAGCGGTGAGAGACTGAGGAAGCGTCAATCTAATGCCAGCGTTCTGGCTACCTCATTCTGCCCTGGAAGCACCCATTTCCCCCTTGCCTCTCGCCTCTGCCTCTTTTATTCCCTCTTGAGCTGCAGGGAGTTGCATCATCAACTCTGTGCTCCAGCCGGACACTTTCTTCCACATCCTCTTCCAGAGTATGGTTGACCTTTGGTGCTAATTCCTGATGCCCTGTGTATTTTGTTGTTTTTTTTTTGAATGGGAGGTTAAAGAAAACCAACCCATAAAAAAGCCTGAGTACTCCTCCCTGTGAGTTTCTCTCTTTCATTTACTTGTGCCCTGTCTTTTGCCAACATTCTGCCGCCAAGTCTCCCACTGAAGTGTGCATGTGGGCCATTGTTATCCATTGACAAATTAGGGGAAAGGAATTGTGATAAATCCACGTAACTCTTTAAAGACTCAGTGAGGCCTATTGGACCCAAGCAAAGTACACACTCACGCAGAGATGGTCTTTTCTCGAGGTTCTGGCGGGAGTCCTACTGTCAGATGTTTCTGATAGGAGAGCAGGTCTGTGCAGGCCTAAAAAAGAGAGACAACATAACATTGTCATTCCCATACAACCTCAGATTTCCACAAACGTTTCCCTTCATAGCCTAGAAACATTTGTCCCTTCTTAACTTAAAAACCCATCAAACTTTTCCTCAGGAATACCATGAAGATCAGAAATGTGGGATTTCTAGGAAGGAATGATGAGGTCTTTTCTCTCCTGGGAGGTAGGAACTTTCAGCCCAGTGTAACTTAATTCTTAAGATCTACAATTCTTATAGTTTATAACACTTTTAATGTCTAGAGTTTTTATGGCTCAGTAATGTATATTTGTCATTCACAAGTAAAAAGCTAAGTAAATTTCAGGAACTTTATGTATGAAAGACAACATCTGAAATGATTACAGGCTCTATTTGCCTTAAAACAGTTATGGAAACAGATATTTTGGGGGTTGCTGGGGGAAAACCCAGGACCTCACACATGGTAAGCAAGTGCTCTACCACTGAGACACACTCCCCGCCCTGAAACGAACTTTTTGAGAGCGCCTCCATTTAGATCTGGTGGCGGAATTTAGACTACCTCATCCAGTGCTTCCACCTTCTTCCTTAAGATCCCGGAGATATACCGGATCAGGCCCCAGTGACGAATTTCTCCAACTTTGCCATACAGCTCAGTAAGAAGCTCTCTGACTGTAGCACTTCTTTCTTCATACAATTCCGTGTCCCAGTCAGGTCCTCTGGAATTTTAAAGACAGAACCACATCAGTTATAAGTAAAACCCCCGGCAACCATCTTTTCTTTCAGAGTTAAAATAGCTATACTTGTTTTTGACAGGGCTTCTTCACTAGGAAACTGCTATTATTTACTAAGAATCCTGTTAAAACTGTAATAGTCAACCCTAAAGGCCAAATATCTAGGGAAGAATTTTTTAGTTTCAGCTCTGCTTCAGTAAAATGTCATTTCATAGCCTTTAATATAGCTGAAACTAAAGATAAAAATTTAACTACTAAAAGTTCAGAAAGTATGCTATGCTTCAGGAACTAATGAAGAAATAATAAAGATGTGCATTTATTATTAAAGGGGACATATTATTACAGTCTATGTCTAGATCTCTCCCCAAGACCTCAAATACTCATAGGTGGGGCTTCTGAGAGGTGACTGGATCACAGGCGTGTGACACTCATCACTGGATTAGTCCACTAATGGGTTTAGAGCTGGGAGGGATGACGGTAGATGAAGGCTGGTGCGAAGAGGTTGGCATATCGGGCATGGTCTGGAAAGGTCTATCTCCCTTCTCATCCCTTGGTCCCTCTCTGTTCCTGCCTGCCATGCCATGCCCCTCTGCCATGCCACCCTGCCTTGGGGCCAGCTGACTATGTTCTGAAACCTCTACAAACTGTGAGCCCAAATAAACTTCCCCTCCTCTAACTTGTGGGTGGTGAGTATTTTTCCCCAGAAACGAGAAAGTAACTATGGCGCATATACATTTATTGTTGTAGAAATAACACAAGCCAATTATGAAGTGCCCTAAAATATCTACAAAGTTTTCTGATTTTTTAAAATTAGAACATCATTATATAGATATTTTTATTGGACACTTACTAGGTAACATATGAAGAATAAAAGTCATACTCTTAGAACATGAGAATAAATAAAATAAAAATACAAATGGAACAAACACAAGACTAAGTATGTGTTATTTACACTCATATTTTACATATAGTGCTTAAACTGACCTTTTAGTATTCACTTATTTGAAACTATAGAGTTGATATGCCATGTAAGTATTAGTTCGAACCTTATAAAACAATTTTCCTGGTGGCATTTATTTATGGGGAGAAAACTTTACTGTATGTCTAGGTGGACATGATTTAACAATGACACATTTACATTATAAAGAATAAACACTGCTTATTTTAGAAATGCTACCTAAACTACAATGACATTAAAAATATAGATCCTTCCTAAACTCTATTAGTTTATAAACTATCAAATGAAGCTATGAAAGTTAAAATTTTAACAGCCAATCAAGCTGCAAAAAACAAAAAAAACCAAAAGGCAAAAACTCAGAGTAAAGTTTGGAATATCCACTAAATTTGGCTCCATTTTTTTCTTATACTTCAAGAAATACCTCAGTTAGACATGGGGTATCCAGTTAGCAATCTTTTTTTGCAAACTCAGTTATAATCAAGAGACAGAGGCAAAGACAACAGATACACACCATCATAGAGGAAAAGATAGAAGAACCATAGGCCAGTCAAGGGATGCAACAGAGCACAACAATCTGAATAACATGAATTTGGAGGAAAAACAAGCTAAACCTTGTATATCCTGATACTTACGGGAGTAGCTCTACACATTACAATTTTTTAAATTTTATTTTTGTTTGTTTGATGCTAGATATTGAATACAGGACTTCAGCATGCTAAGCATGCACTTTATCATTGAGTTTTATTCCTTGTCTTCCCTGTCCCAAGTTCTTGTTTTATTTTTTTTTGTTTTGTTTTTGATACAGGGTCTTACTAAGTAGCTCAGGCTGGCCTTGAACTCATAATCTTCCCGCCTTACCCTTCTGAGTGCTAGGGTTACAGGCATGTTCCACCATGCCTGGTTCTCAGCCCTAAATTTTGACTTTTACACTAACCAAGCCAAAGAAAGAATTGTCAGTATTTTGTTTAAAGGCAGGGAAGTGTATCAAAATTTTTTGAAACATGTCCATGAAATGTAAATTTTATCCAGAACACCTCATTTTCTGATGATGCATCATTACTATACTTAAAGTTAATAAAGTGAACAAGGTAACATCATAACAAATCTATGGATATTTAAGAAACATGATAAAGAAACTGGTAAAATTTACTTATCTTAAAAACTGAGTCTGTTGAGACTGACCTGGTACGATTAGCTTTCCACACACAGAAGAACAACTCCTAAGACACAAATGTCAGTACAGGATCTTACTTCCACAAATACTTAGGTGCTTGGCCAACTCCAGGTTCAAGGGAAATACAAAGCCTCACAAACACCTCAAGAATACTAAAAATCCTCCCTCCCTTCTGGAACTTTATTTTTCCTCTTAGGTGTCAGTCTCAGAATACATAGGGCACAGTGATATATTAGGCGACGTACAAACGCATCAGTTTCACCTCCTAACTCTGATAATTGGTCCAGTGAAGACACACAAGGGTAATGGTCTTTTAACATAGCTGACAATTTAGAAGTCTTCTCTTGAAGACGCTGAGAATGTCTCACCAGTGTTAGAAACTTTAGCTCTTTAAATGCAGAATTTCTTTCATCAAGTTGCATCTTCTTTTTTATACTTTGCAAGTATGGCACAGTAGATATGTTATATTTAATTAAGCAACTTGATCTATTTTCTGTATCAGGGGTTTTAGAACTGTCAGTTGGATCTTTTCTTTTGCCTTCTTGCTGTGGTTCACAATCTTCAAATGCCACATTTCCATTATGTTTATTCTCCATTTCTGGTTTTCCTGGCTCTAGATTAACACCTGTATCTTCAATGTTGATTTCCTGAATTTGTTCGTTGGTTCTACACTCATCTTCAGTATTTCTTCCACAATTATTTTTTTCTTGGTTCTGCATCGTTACAATATCCACAATTGTCTGTCGCATCTCTTCAATAGGCTGAGCTCCTGTCAGAACGGCCTTCTCATAGAGTGAGATAATATTTTCAATAGGACTTGTGATTGATTCAATACATATAAGACATATCCAATATTTAACAAGATTTTGAGCATCTGGAATATTTCTAATCAGGTCATTCAGTGTGGTCATTATTTTTTCTTTTGGGCATCCCTTATTAATTAGATTCAGGCACTCAGAAAATGTCTTGTTTACTTTGTCAGTAAATAGCCTTTGTTCATCCTCTTCTGCCATGGTAGTCCAGAACGATACCACTGGATTTTCAATTTGTCTCTCAGGCTCAGGCTGGGTAGCGACTGAATTAGGAAGCCTCTTCAGCACTCTTCCTTTGCCAGCTTTCCACTCACTCAGGTGAGCTTTTCTCTCTTCTGCGGTTTCTTTGGGTTGAGCTGATCTATCCACAGTGGCTTTTGCTAATATATGTCTTCGTTGGTCAATGGTTTGTGACTTTTCTTTCAATTTGGTATTAGTAAATGACACAGGCCAGGCAATAGTCTCAGATGCCATGTGATTCCATGACATAGATTTTTTTCTCTTCTGTAGTTTCTTTGGGTTGAGCTCATCTATCCACAGTGGCTTTTGCTAATGTGTGTCTTCACTGATCAATGGTTGTTGACTTTTCTGTCAGTTTGGCATTGGTAAATGACACAGACCTGACTACAGTCTTAGATGCCATGTTTTGGGATAATGCCTTACTTCTTTTTATGTCCTGAGAAGTGGTTTTGAACCTAGGCAGGACTGTTTTTGATTGAAAGGCCTTACATTTTGTGTCCTGAGATTTGGATTTGACATTACATAGAACTGTTTCTGACTGTAATAGTTCTTTTTCAGTAGGCTTTTTTGGACTGAAATACTGGCAGAGGTTCTGCTAATGTCTTGTTTGACCCTGTTCTGAATGTTACTATGGTGATTTCTAATGGGAGGGAGGCCCCAGAAGTTGTGTGTTCCAAGATGCAGTGTTCTCAGATTTAGTGGTAGCAGTCATATTTGAGGCTCTATGACTTTTTTACTGTAACAGTGCTAGTGTCTATAGAGTTAGGCTTTGTGCCTTTAGATATAGTAGTTGAAAGTTTGTTGCTGCAAAACTCTTATCTTTGACTTGTAGAGATTTTCTGAATGAATTAATCTTAGACTGAACAATATGGCCATGATAATATCCTAGCATAGGTTTCTTGAACACGTTAGCATCTTGCTTTGGTTTTTCTGTAATCATTTGTTTCTTTTTATGATTTTTTTAAAGATGAAATGCCTGGCTTACTGTCATATTTTGATTTTGGGAATCACTGTTAATTGGTAAGAACTGCAGAGTTTGATGATCAGCCTCAAGATAATGTGTTTCAATTGCTGTAGCAGAATTGGTTAATTCAGTAGAAGCTTTTAAGGGAATATAATTCTTTTCCATTGTTGTATTAGTGTTTTCTGTATGTCTTCTGATATTTTCTTTATCAGCCATTTTTGTTTTAAGTTTCAGAAGTTTTGTCCCTTCTTGGATCTGGTCTTCAGATGTCATCACTCTATTACTGGAAATCTGATTTTCCTGTTTTTTTTTTTTAATTTTTTTTTATTTTCCTGTTTGTATGTCAAAAGTGATTTTTCATTTTAACAGCTATTCCTTGAATATTTGTCTTCTTTGCTCGGTTCACACTGCTGCCTCTTCTACCGTCAGCTTTGAACAAAGACTGGGCTCTCTGACTGCAGCTCCCAGAGCATGACTGGGGACGCTGAGAGGGGCTTTGACTTCTTCAGACCACCAGAGCTACACTCTGCTGGGTTTCTGATTTTGGGAATTTAATATACCATAAAGATAGATCACTAATTAAATGATGTATGACAACCAAGTAGCCATCTGGGAAAAAAGTTGGATCTATGCCTCACTGTATGACTATAATTCCAGATGTACCAGAGATCTAAATGTAAAGGTACAAGAAAAACATGCCCGAATTAATTTATAACTTTGGAGGTAAGAAGATATACTACAATGCAGATGAACCTTGAAAGTACTATACTAAACAAAAGATGTTCATCGTAAAAGACCAAATACTGTACAATTCCATTTATGTAAATGTTGAAAATAGACCAGTTTATAGAGGCTGAAAGTAGACTGCTGTTTGCTTAGGGAAGGGGGATGGAGGGATTGGTGACTGATGGGCAAAGGAAGTGGGGTTTCTTTTTTGGGGTAATAAAAATGTTCCATAATGGATAGTGGCGAAAGGTGCAAAACACTATGAATATATAAAACTCGACTGAATTATACACTTAAAATACCTCTATTCTTTGGCAGATCAATTCACTTTTTGGTTTATGTGTAGGATAAATTCCTTCCATACATGTGAAATGATATATGCTAACAGGTCACTATTAGCTTTGTGGGACTGAATGATTGGAAAATATGCAAATATCCACCAGTAGGAGACTGATTAAATAAATTATGCTGTATTCAAATAGTGGAGTGTCGTAAAACTATTAAGAAAATATATACAAATCTAGAATGTGTTAGATTGTATTTCCCAAAATGACTACAACAATTTTGCACTCAACATGCTCCAGGTGACTCCCACAGTCCTCGCATCAAGAGGAGGGGTTTGCATTCCCTTCCCTCGAACCCAGGCATTGTAACTAAGGCAAAAGCATCGGTGTGTGATTTCTGAGGCTAGGTACAAAAAGTAGTACAGCGTCCACCTGGTCTCTTGGGACAATTACCCTTAGAGTCTGGTCATTATTTTGTGAGGAAACAGATACGTGGGGAAGTAATTTGCAGGTGCTCTAGCTGTATGTAACGAGGTTCCAGCCAACAGTCAGTATTGCCGTGGCTCAGACGGTAATGAGCAGACCTTACAATGACTCCAGGCTCAGACACTGTCTGACCAAAATTGAATGAGAGATCCAGAGCAAGCAGAACTCCCTGAGACCAGGGAAGCCCCAGAACTATTTTAGACTTTTGTGATTTTAAGCCATTAAGTTTTGGGGTGATTTTTTTATGGAGAAATAAGATAGAATATATATGTAGTGATGTATAAGAGATATAGCTTTAGTGAAAAAAGCAAGGCATAGCACAATGTACATACTGCGCTAAGCTTGGGTAAAGGGGTCAAAGTACCTCCAAATATATCTGTATTTACATACATATGCATAAATGACCCTGAGAGGATGCACACGCAAAAACAGTATTGATTGCCTATGAGGAGGGGAACTTGGTATCTGGGAAGAGAGATGGGAGAAAGACTTTTACCCTTTTGCTGTATATCTTTTCTTACTTAAGAAGTTGTGAGACATGAGGATGCATTCTCTATTCAATACACCAAATTTTAGAAAACATGAAATAAAAAGTGCTATAGAGAGAGTCATCAATGGATACAAAACCAGCGAGTGAAAGTTTGAAGAATAAACCCCAGGGAGAATCAAGGTCCCGAGTCTCTCTGGCCTTCACTGACACGCTGTGGCAGTGGGGAAGCAGAATAGTGCCTGCTTTGTTACAGCTGGGCAAGTGTGGTTGTCTGGACTTTCTAACTCAGCTTTTATTGACATGGGTGGAACCCCAGTTTTTTTTAATACTGCTTGGCTAGAGTAGAATGGTTGTTGTCTAAGTGTTGTCTGTCTTGCTTGGCTGTCCCTTTCCTAGTCTTTTATCTAGGAGTATGTTGTCTTCCTTGGGAAGTTTGGTGTCTGTGCCCCCTGGTGTTTCAGATTGCTGGCTTCTCCAAGAGCCAGGACAGGATATATAAGGCAAAAAGAAAACTCAAGAACCCGCCACTACGTTGTTTCTTAGATCCTGAGATCCTCAACTGGTATATCTTCTTCTTTTTAATCTTCTAGAGTCCTTTTATGACTGTTTTAAATAATTTCCTGAACTTGGCAGGAGAACAAGGAATAAATGCACCCACTTCATCTTGTCTAGAAAGTCCAAGTGCTCCTTCTTTTGGTGCTAGTGAGAACCCTTATGCCAGCCTCACTCCCTCCCTAATCATAATAAAATCCTGAATCCAGTCTCCTTCCCCTGCTGTCTCAAATCTTCTAAGAGAAATTTGGGAGCATTGTCCGCTTACCCTGGAAAGTCTCATTGTACATAGAACAAACATTCCACGTTCTCTTTGTATGTGTATGACATCAACAGCCTTAACATTTGTTGGGAGCTGCTGGAGCTGGATACTGGTCACATGTGTGAGGGCGGGACAGAGTCAGAGTGCCTCAAGCAGTCACGCTACCTCAGTATGGAAAAAAGCATCCTGCCTGGACAACTACACTCTCAGTCGCTAGGCAACATTACCTCTCCTGATACTAACTTTGCAAGAATATAAAATAAATGTTCCTTACTGTTGAAATCAGTCCTCTTCCCACCAGGTAAGAGGTAACTCCACCTGACCCAGCTCTTGTCTCTTGTCTTTATTTTTCTCATACCCACTGCTGTTTCTCTCCGGGGTACAATGAGAGAACAGTGAAATTCCCTACAAACATTCACATCACATTTAGGAGAAAGGAGTCCATCCTGCCTCATCATAGTTGCCACAACAGGAAAAGAAGAAGATGAACAGTTTATTTTTGTGTAGGGATGGATGAGCAGGAAAAAGGAACTCAATTCGGACATACTGAGTTAAGATACAAAGTAGCTAGCAGGGTGTCTGATACATAAGCAAACACTCAAAAATGTTCATTTTTTAAAATAAATTCTCTGTGTTGTTCTTTCTTTTGAGTTAACAAATATCTGTAGGTTTTACAAAATAATAGGAGTTTAGTAATAACCATAATACTGATAACAATATTTATCAGTTGTCAGTCACTTACTACAATCCAGGGGTTGTAGTAGGCACATTAAAGACATTTACAATAATTTTATGAGGTGGGTATAATCTAAATTTTGTGAGGACAATCTGGGCTTTAAAGTCATGAAATGAGTATATTACTAGATTATATTCAATTCCAGATAAGTGAAACTCCAAAGCTGAGCTCTATTTATTATATGCTGTGGTATGGGTCAGAAATGCCCCTCAAGGCCCGAGTTTTAACGGCCTGGTACTGAGCCCATGGCACTACTGACAAGTGGTGGAAATCTCTAAGAGGCGGAGCCTATGGGACATCTTAGGTCACCAGGAATGTGCCCTTGAAGGTCACTGTGGGACTTTGGTGTCTTCCCCTCTCTTTCTTTTGCATCCTGGTCATGAGGTGACTGGTTTTGCTACCTTGCCAGAGTCCTAAAGCCAACAGGGTGACCAATCATGGACCAAACCTCCAAAGCTGTGAGCCCGAATAAAATTTCTCTTTCAATGCTGATCATCTCAGGTATTTATTACAGTAATGGAAAGCTGACTAACATACTACACTATACTTCCTCCCTATACAAATATATATTATATGTACTATATATATAGATAATATCAATCACTTACTTCATAGTATACAGCATGTAGAGTATATCAGCTTGCTCCTGTAAGCTTGAGGTTTCCTTCAACTGTGAAACCAGTGCTTTGAAGTCCACTTCCCCAGATTGATCTCTAGGAAGATGTATTTCTACACGAACAGAGGGAACCTTTATTTTGAGAAATGATGAAAAGAAATTAAATCCACAAGTGTTCTTAAATGATGCCCTAGAATGATGCCCTATCTTTCCACTTGTAAACCTTTTCCATAAGGATTTTCTAAATATTGATGAAAAGCGAAATAAAAACAATGAAGCCATCAAGACATATGATAAAGCACAGTATCTTTAAGCCAAATTAGACAAACTTGCCCTCTTCAAGAGCTAACTGAAAGCTGGGTGTGGTGCCACATGCCTGTCATCCCAGCACTCAGGAGGCTGAGGCAGGAGGATTGCTGTGAGTTTGAAGCCAGCCTGGGCTACACAGTGAGACCCTGCCTCAAGAGCTAACGGAAAAAGACATGTATCTTCACCAGGATAGTGTTTTGTCTACCATCGGTTACTAACAGGAACTGTAATGGCTAGTTCTATTATTTTCCATAAAGATGACAGTTTTTCAAAAAGCTAATAGAAATACCTCATGTGCAAGTTTACCTGGTTACCCTGTGAGGGGTCTGGTGAGTCAAGTAAGTTGAATGAAGGCCGGGAAGGCTGAAATAACTTTGTAGGAAGATACATGTGAACATCTGCAAGAGGTTGACATTTACAGGAAAGGTTAGATAGTTAGGAAATTGATGAAAATGCATGGTTGACCTCAACAATGGGATCACATATGGATCAGTTCTTTATAGAAAAGAATGGCAAATTTTTCCTTTCATGGTACTATTAAAGAAAAGAAATATGTATATTAGATAATTTAAAGACTATGGGACTTTGGTGTCTTTCCCTCTCTCTTTCTTTTGCATCCTGGTCATGAGGTGAATGGTTTTAAAATATATTTTGAATTGATTTTTCTAGAATTGTACCATCAGCTGTACCTAAAAGATATTAAATTTACTAATGTAATCAGTATAACAATGGTGCCATCATTGATGCTTTGGTAGAATACCACATATAATAGAAAGAACCCAGTTACAGTTTATATTTTCTGGGCTTTCCCAGGAGAATATTTGATGGCTAGTCCTTGCATTTCCCTGAGA